GGGTTCGTAAACGTGTGGAACCTACCATATGTACTGTATTTAGCAATATACTGTATGTCCAAGCCAAAGTTGAGCTATAGAAGCCTTTCTCAGTATGTGGTGGGGTCATCTGATACAGACCGCTTGACCTCCATCAGACCAAAGGACACATGATGCACATTCATCATCAAACCTCCAATGACATGAAGCCGGAAAATGACATATGGGATCTGTTAGAAAATAACCAGATTACAGTGTCACTTTACTAAACTACATTAAAGACAGTTATCCTCCTCCTTTAAGATTCTTTTCTCCAATTTAATCTCCCTGAAATCCAGGCTAAACTATTGTATTACCTCTGTCAATGAATACTTGGAAGATGGGAGTGTTGGAGTTGTGGTGATGCTGGCTCATGTGTTCTCTGATCAGCAGCAGCTGCAGTAACACTGCTCAGCGTTTTACCTTTCACTCGCTCCACTCGCTCATTCTACCTTTTCTACAAGCCCTTCAGAAATCATCCTGCATTAACAGTACAGGACGGAAGTCTCGCTTTTTGCTCCGTCTTTTTCCCAGCCTACTCTCCCTCCCTCTCTCATGCACACACATGCGCCCAAAAGCGACCAGTGTTCAACCAACCAAACAATGGCAGCAGCATCAGAAGAAAGCCATCACATAATGAAGTCATTATCATTACCAGACTAACAATAACTACACTCACATGTGAACACACACATATATAAATGCACATGCACCATTACATAAAAGCTCCAATGGAAGCAGTGATGTTGAACAAAATATCTCATTGAATTACATTTTCTATTTCTTTGCTCTGCAGAGTCAGGTCACCTTGTTATTGCTTTGTAGAGATTTAAGACTTCCCCCTTTATGCTTGAGTCAAAGAACAGATCTCCCTCTAGCAAAAACAAACACAGGACGGGACAGAAGCAGCACAGCCTTACAACAAAGAGGAAATGGCCTCTTCGTCCAGCTGGACTAGAAGATATGAATCTTGGATGTTTACGGTCTGGGAGCAAAACAGTTCTGTTGCTGGCTTTGAGTTGCCAGTGAATTATATGGATTGGGACACAATTTATCCAGATGTGAAGGCTTTCACTTTTTACTTCCTTTCACTCTCCTCTCCTTTCTGATGAGAGCAACACCAAAACTACACACCCATGCGCTCACCCACACACATGCAGACAAACACCGGTAGCTACAGTAAAAGCAGAGAGGGAGTGCGCTGTATCTAAGCAGAGCACTCAGAGTAAATCTGAACTCCATAAATCAGAATGGTGCAGGCTGCAGCTACGGAAACATGGAGGAGTCAAACTATGGGGGCAGGAGGAAATATAAAAGGACTGCTTCATAAATAGAACAGAATAGAGAAACACTGCTGCTAGAGAAGATTTAGACCTCAGTGCATTCTGCATACCAACATAGGCAGGGATAGAGCTTAAAAGACCATCCACAGCCTGGCGTACTGAATGAGGATTTTAATATAAGACACTTTCTATGGGCTGAGTATGTGTGTAGCCGTCATGGACTAGGCTAATGTGTGTGTGTGTGTGTGTGTGTGTGCGCGGGGAAGGGGGGTCTGATAACCTGCCTGGCAACCACTAGAATAAACACCCTCCTACTCCTCCCATAGATAAAAGGGCCCTCACTTATCCAATTCCCCCCTGAAGCCCCTCACACATCAGTCATATTCAGCATAACAAGCAGCATATTTTACCAGGTGCGCACCATTGCCTGTGTGAAGAGACACATGATGCTGTCGTTTCCATGACAACATTAGCCTGGCTTCAATCCTGCATTGAACAGACTGGGTGGGTCCGGCGGTGACAATAGAGGGCTAATAGAGGGGAAACGGCAGAACAGATACAAACGATTCGCCCTGTATATTATGAATGTAAGGCGAGTGGTAAAGGAAACCTATACTGAGACGAGGCTCGGTGGGTGGGCCCCTGGAAGCTCAAAATACTGTCTTTACAAGGAGAAAATCGAGCCATAAGATCTCTAAGATATTGAAATTCTTCAATACATTAACAGTGAATGCATATCTAAGATAAACGATTAAATGCAGCTGCAGGCAGAAGGCTGAGTGTGGGTGCGCATCTGTCATGACGCGTCAAACAGAGCGCGTGGTGCTGGCCGCCGCTTACCTCATTTTCTCCTATTTTATTCAGCTGGAGACGATTGTACCGATGAGGCTAATGAATAGGATCAGCAGTTCGTTGTAATTTCTGTATATACAACCAGGGAGCCTCGAATCAGACCACCAGCCTCCCCCTTACGCACGTCTGTGAAGATAATACACGCTAAGACGAGTCGTGTTGCAGGAACGCTAAGCGACAACCAGAGCGTTTTCTTCCATCTGCTTTGTGCTCCCTTGTCTCTGCTCTCCACACGCGCCGCTGCGTCTCCTCATGTCCATGTTCAGCAGAGGGCCGTGCTCGGCAGAAGATGGTGAACGGTGGTCGTCAGACGCCACCTCCTTCATGCCATAGTTTCTTCCCATTCGGAGTGTTTTGGTGAGGTGGAGAGATTTTGGATGAAATGCTAATCCGGCGAGCAAAGGAAGAAGGAGAAGAAGACCGGCTCAATGCTGCCCACCTGCGGGGAAGACGCACGCATGCAAGCCAGTGACACCCTTCGGCTCCACCCCGCGATCACCAGCAGCCCGTTAGAGCTTACCATTTGCCATTATGGTATGTCCATCTGAAACTAATGCAATCTGCTAGAACAGCCGACAAATCCCACGCCAGTTTTCGGTGTTGTTTAACTGCGCTGCATTATACAGAGAGGTGCATTTAGCGAAGCCCCGCTGATATAATAATGTGGACAAAATAAAGCTCAACATAACCATCTTCTAGTATGATCATTCAGTCAAATCAACACCTCTCTAAAACAGTTTAAACAGAAATGAAACATTATCACCTTCATGAAGGGAGGATTTGGTTTTAGATATGTGTACCTACCTAACAAACTGGTGGTGTAAGTCTTCCTGTAGTATTATGGTGGGCTGGGAAAAGCCCGGTATTGTGCTTAGTACTCCACATTTTGTACTACTACATGGTGTTAAAAGAATATAAATATTGAGAGAATAAAAAGGTGCATTCTATTTATACAGGATATACTGGTGATAATACCTCTTGGACAGGTAACAGGCTGAACAAGTAAAATGTCAGAAAATGGAAAATATACAACACAGTATCATTGGTATTTCATGTTGCATTTACTTTCAGACCGATGTTAAATGTTCAGTGGTGTTTTGCAGCCCTGAGTGTCAGGTGGTAAGACGCATCATATGGCATTCACTCTGTAGAGTGGTGGCTTTAACATCACTGCTGTTAGGTTTCGGTGGTTTTTCTAATAAGACAAGTCCAACAATCAGTTAACCTTCAGAATGTCTAAAATCTTCCTAAACCCATGGCTTGCTGTTAACCATAAGATGAGGAATGTGACATGTTACCTATGGTACCACAGATCTGACTGATGGTATACAGCTTGGCAGGTTGAAACATTCCAGTAAGTGCTAAATGGTGATTTGATTTAATAGACCTGTTGCATGTTTATCAGACTGAAACAGTGCATTATAGAAAAGCCCCTCAAGAAGATTCAGTTCAGTTCATCATGCCAGTGAGTGATGGTGCGCACCAGAGGAGCACATCAGACATTTACAGTGTAACGGTCTCATCTTTCCCCTTCATAAACCGGTCTGCGTGCAGCAAACCATGGAGAGACACAGGCTGAAAAAGGCGTCACACAACTGAAAACGCCCCCAAACCCTGAGGCACCTTAAGATAGAGGAAATAAATAACAAAAAATTTGAAATGATTTCACATCCTGTATATTCCTGTGTGAAGCCCCTCGGTACATTTACACACATGGAACAAGTTTTCAAAAGAAGTGAAATTAACAGTGAAAGATCTGAAACATAAATAATTGGAAGGTTTTTTTTTTAAGACCTGAAAACGCAAAAACTCAACTGTGGAAAATGTTCATACAACTTTGCTGAAAATGGTTAAAATCCTACCTTTGATTCTGGATAATGTGAGTAAATAATGTTAATTTCCCAGAATATAATGGTTAACAGCTCATCTGGTTCTCCTTTTCACTGATATTAATCTTCATGCTGAGAGGCATGCCCACCTAATTCAGCATTAGCCCTGACTGCATTGCTAGTTTTAATGCACAAAAGGTCAGTGCAAATAAATCAGTAGGTGAATATGACGTTTACCATGGTTGATACCTCTCTGAGTTTGTTTAGGACTGCCAGAGGCTCGCTCTGATGAGTCGGTGTTAATAGCAGGGAAAGGTCCTGCTTCACCTGTGCTTTCCTGAGTTGTGAAATACACAACAAAAGAACATTTACTAATTAGAAAATCACGGTTCTCTCTTTCCATACACTTTCCCAGCACTCTTGGACCTCCAACTCAGTGATACTGTCTGGGACAGCTCTGACAAACCCCTTCAGTCCATTATTGGTGACAGAAGTGTGCACAGTACAAGAGCAGTGAACAGCCAAACTGTACAGATGCAGCCATAAAATCAGCCTTTGGTTCTGTTTAGTTGAATTTGACCTTAGGTTTCATTTGTTTCTACAGTGTGTGAAAGATTTTTTTACATGTAGTGTGAATAAAATAAAAGAAGAAATATTCAAAATTCTTGTAATTCAAACAACCACACATTCCACCTCCAGTAGTTCGTCTCATCTGGGATCTGAACAAAACCTCAGGACTCAGGTTCCTCTTCTATCAGTTCACTCCAGTCAGATCTGCCTAATTTATTAGTGTCTGAGTTAATTAAAATTTGGTTTGGTTCAGTTTAGTGCAGTTCAGTTCAGTTTGCTTCAGCTGAGTTTAAGGCCCCAGCAGCAGTTAGGCTGACAGAATGTGCCTCTGTCTGGTCGCTCAGACTATCCTCCACTGCATCACGCTCACGTCCTTCCCTCCTGTTGACACCAGGTAACTGTCATCATACAGGAAGGTCACATTGGTCACGTGACTGCTGTGGCCACCGTAAACATGGCTGGGAGCCTTAAAAAAACAACAACAAATAAACCATTTTGGCAGCTTTGTTAGCTTTTCCATAAGCAGTGATTTGAAGTTTTAATTGAAGCTGTATTACAGTACAGAGGTTCTTACTCTGAACTGTGAACAGGGGTATGAGAAGAGATGGACCTTCCCAAAATCATCTCCAGTAACCAGGAGGCTCTTATTGTTGGACCTGCTGACGGCGTTGATATCTGTGCCATCTGAGCCATCAGGCCACAAGCCTGAGGAGTGAAGGCAGTAGAAATGAACAAACAAGGATATTCAGAATGAACACACACACACAGAGGGAGAGGGACAGAGCTCTCACTTACCAAAGACGTGGAAGCCCAGAGTGCAGGTGTACGTGGCCCACTCGATATCTCTGGTGGCCTCCACGCTGACCACTTGTTTACACACTGATGGGATCCCTTGGTAAACACACAAATCAAATACATCACAATTTAGCCTGACATACTGTAGTATAATAGCATAAAGCCCCTGAAAACCAGGTTTTTATATCAAATCAAATTTGCTATAACTTTTCTTGCTGCTTTGGTCGGTGGAAACAAGTTAAGACCAACAAATCCTCACTTTTGAAGCTGCAATGGGGAACTCGTGAACCAGGGCCTTTGTGAACTTTGTCCACTAAGAGCGTCACCATGTTAACATTAAGTCTTTAGTACTAAAGTAGGACAGCTTTTAAATGCTGCTAGTTTTGCACTTGATAGATATTTTCACATCATCGCTGACATACACTGAGCACAGTACACTGAAAATAAACCCCTCAGACATTGGGGAATAATTAACAGATGTTGAAATCTTTTGCATTATTTTATGTGTCACGTTACACAAATGTAAATTGATCAATATAACAGGCTGTGAGAGGATGACAGCGATCATACTTACAATACAGTATCTCATAGTCTCCTGAGTTTGATACCAGATACTGGGAGTCTACTGACCAGTCCAGATGAGTGATGAAACTCGAGTGACCCTGAGACACAGGACCAAGTTATATTGTTTTTCTTTGCAGCAATAAAATCACACACTTCACAGAATTTCCGTTGTCAATATAGTTTTCAAGCACCAGAAATAATCCTAGAAATGTTGATCCAGTTTAATACAGTAACCTTTAGTCATTATGTTTACATAGACACAGCTGTGTATGACTCGTGTTGTCATTCATCATTTTATAGCTTCTCTCTCAACACACAGGGAGGACAAAGTGTTCAGAGTGGAGGCCCAAATATAAGGCCAAGTAGGAAACTAAATATAACACTGATGGGGGGAGGAATTAAAAATAAAGTAGCCACAGATTAGGGGGGAATATAAATACAGGTGCTCACCGAGCACTTCCCGACTCGACTGTACTTCCTCCCGTTTTCTGCCACAGCGTAGATATAGATGTAGTTGTCATGAGAACCAATGGCCAGGAAGTTACCATCTAAGTTAAATAAAAGAAGACAGGAAGATTATTGGTGGTAAAGTAAAATAAAATGGAAATGTTTGCAGATGTTCTCTGCATGCTTAAGTGAAACATACCATCAATGGTTCTCAACATACCTGGCCCGTAGCGTACAACAGAGAGCTGTTCATTCCCATCTGTGTGCACTGTGACTAAATCCTTAGAGTCGGTGTCCAGCACCAGCCACCTGCAGGATCAGTGGCAGCCTTCTCAGCAATCTGGTTTGTCATCAGTTTAACAACAATTCAGATATGCTCTAGAAAAACCCACTGTTTTAGCATTTACAGTCAGGTACTGCTGTAACTCTTTGGAGACTGAGTAGCCACAAAATGCGTTTTAGTAATGGCATCTCTACCTGCCAATCTGGGTTCCTATGGCAACCACAGCACCTGTCGGGTGGAAGCCTGCTGATTGGGCGGCATCCTGTGAGAAACAAATTACAGTAGAACATGTTTAATGTAATTAAATAAATAGGAAAGTATGCATAACACTGATTTGACTACCAAATTTAAATGTAAAGTTCCAGATGCTACTCAAGGACATTAGAACTGATAAAACAGTGCCTGCCTGAGGTGGCATTTTGCATGTAAACCCTGTTTCTCTGTGTCTCCTTTTACCCTATTCTGAACCTAACCGATAATGTTTAATGATGCTAACATAAACCCAACTTTAACCTAACCCCAGTCAGTTACCTATTCTTCCCAAATCTTATATAAATATGTGTATATATCCACACAGTTTAGATGGAGGGTTTCAGATAAATGTATACAAAGTTATATTTTTAGGGTATTGCTCTGAGGGTTATCGTTCTTTTATACAGTCATGGGTTAACTGTTCTCGAGTGTGATGTCACAAGGAACAAACTATCCTTGTGTCTGGTTGTTTTGGTGTACAGTGAGCTGTAGCACCATCCAGAGGAGAGGAGTTCAAACTGTTTGTGTCCAGGGTGTGAGGGGTCTGCAGAAATCTGCTCTGCTTTGTTTTGGACCCGATGATTGTTTCTGCAGTCCTGACTTTCTGCTGGAGTCTGCTCCTGTTCTCCAAACCAGACAGTGATGGATGAGCAGAAACCAGACTCTATGATTCCTCTGTGGAACTGTATCAGCAGCTCCTGGGGCAGGTTGAACTTCCTGAGCTGGCGCAGGAAGTGCATCCTCTGCTGTGCCTAATACACACTGAGAGCTACTGTACTGAAGTCAAATTCCTGATCAATAAAGCTAATTCTGATTCTGGTCTTGGGATCTAATACATTACTCTTTAAGTTAAAATGGAAACGTGCATCCTTGTTGCAACATGACACCACAGTATCACAAATCCACTTTATCTTGATGCACAACAGATTTAAAAAAATAAAAATTCAGTGAGATCACTGAAAATGACAACACTTCACCCAAAGAGAGGACACTTTTAAACTCAGTTTGTGCTGGGTTGTATAATTCCCATGACTGACACTAGGTGGCAGTGTTGACCAGATTTACCTCCAAACTCTTTGTCCACATGACCTGATGGGTACTGGAGTCCCAAAGGCTGACCTGCCTGTCATAGCCACAGGTGAGAAACTGAGGCTTCAAGGGGTGAACGGCCAAACCCCACAGCTCATCAGTATGACCCTGGAGAGGAGAGGAGAGTTTGTCTTTGGCATTTCTCATCTTCACTTTGGACTCTGACTTTGTTCAGTACCGTAAAGAGCAGCTGAGCTTGGCCAACAGTGTAACAGATCTATAACTGTTAAATAATTAATTAGCCAATCAACAGAAAGCTATTTTGATTTTTGATTCATCATTTTAAGCTAAATGCAGAGCATTCTCTGGTGTCAGTTTCTACAGCAAAAGGATTTCTGCTTTTCCTTGTTTATTTTTATAGACAAAACAAGACATCTGAGGACATCTCCTGCACCCTGGGAAATGGTGACTGGGATTTCTTTCATAATTTTGTGACATTTTATAGACTAAACAATTAATCATTAAATGGATGAAATGACTGGCAGAATTATCAGTAATACAAATAGGCATTAGATGCAGCTCTAACTTGTAGAACAAGTGTAGGAGTGGTGAACCAGACTGGTACATCTACCTGTGTAATAGGTATAAATTCTCTATCCAAACTGCCTTGCAAAACAAAGTTCTTTGTGGTCCCAATGAGCACAGTCTCCCCCCTGCCCTCTGCTATGGTCCGGATGGGACCAAACAACTCAGGCACCTGGGAAGAAAACATAATAATCATGTAAACCATCTGCTCTCTTGGAACATTTGCAGAAGAAACATCAGTTAATCTTTTACTCCATAATGTATGTGGTCTCAGAGAAAACTGGACATTAGTGATCCATTATGCACAGAAAAAAATCACTATATATGATTATAAATATCCATAAATCTAAATGAGAGCACAACCCCATCTCATCCTCTGTAATGTACGAATGTGTTGCAGTATCTGCTGCTTCAGGCTGGAGTGCAATTTCTGGCTAATATAAGAGACCAAGATTTACTTTAAAAGAAGGCACTGGATATGCAGCTTAACACTTTATTAACACATATACACAGTCATTTTTGTTGATTTTTTTTCTCACCTCCACCGTCTGTATCTGCTGGAAGCTGCTGTTCCAGGAAATGAGCCTGCGGTCTTTACCTCCAGACACCAGCATGCCATTCCTCAGCATGCAGAGAGCAAAGATGCTGCCCTCATGAGCTCCTTGGATGACATGGCTGATACGATTAGTGCCTGCATGACATAGATTGGATGAGATGGATGAGAAGGTTCAATAGGAGAAAGTCAGACACGGTGGTAGGCTGCTTGAATAGGGCTCTAATGGACATACAACCTCACAGACAGATCACAACAGATAAATGGGAGAGATCAATTATGGAGCTGCAGAGGGAGGGTGAAAAGTGCACTAAAACATATAGACTCTCTCACTGTGTACCTTTTCCCCACACCAGGATATTCCCACTTGAGTCTCCAGTTATAGCATCTCCATTTTCTGCAAAGGTCACGCACAACACAAACTTGGGCTTCTCCTGTTTCTGCAAGACCAGAACACACATGTCATTTCTTTGCTGTAAGACTACTGCACCATTTCTTTTCTATGTATAGATATAAAACTTGTATCACATCACAAGTTGTCTGCAGTGAATTTGTGATTCTACATCAAACTTTATTGCTTTACTGTGTGGTCCTAACCTACCTCAAACAGTCCTTGCTTTTTAAGCAGCACGCCTTTCTCCAGGTTCCAGAAATAGAGATGGGATTTGCCACAGGTCACCACAATGTTGCTGTCTGTTGGGTGGAAGTCTGCAGCAAACACTGACTCGTTGGAGCACTGAGCAAAACACATGAAACAGCAAACGAATTCGGCTGAGCAAGCAAAACAAGTCAAAACTGCTTGAGCGGGATGAGAGATTGTCTTAATTTGTCGGTTTAACACATAAAAATACACAGACATGTGCACACGACATACCTTGACCTCTGCCAGTCTGTCCTCTCTCTGCCAGTCCCAGATGGAGAGGACGTGGTCATTGGAGTCATCCACGGCACACAACGTGTTTCCTCCATTCTCACATACAGAAACAGGACATCGTTAACACAGCAAGGATCAGAAAACTAAGTACAGCCACAATTATGTCAAAAATAAGCCTTAAAGTGTGTCACTGGAGTTCCCTTACCGACTTGGAGAATGCCAAGCAGACCAAGGCTCGGTCAAAGAAGCCTGCACCCAGCACATGGAGAGTGTTGAGACTGACCGAGTCCCACACACGAATATGAGGAGCCAGCTGCTGCCAGGAAAAACACAAGGGCACAACACCAAGAGAGATATCATCAATATGATGTCCGCACACTGAATATATCAGTTAATGTTTCAGTGTCTCAGTCTGTTAATTTAGATTTGTCTAAAGTAATAATAATAATATCAATAAGGGACCTCACTTACTTTTCCATCTGAAGAGGTGCCCGCCACCTGCCCAGTTGCTATGGTGATTTTATCGGGGTGGACAGCCAGGCTGGCGAAGACATGATAAACAGTTAAACCTTTTCAACATCAGAGGGCCCATTTGAATAAAGATGAGAACATGAACATGAAAGGCAGCGTCTGATGAGTGAGCATTTTAATGATATTCACTGTAGCTACCACACACTAAGCAGTAACACTTTGGCCTGATAATCCAACCACTGATCTGTGGAAAACAAAAGAGTTGATTAATAGCTTGAACTTTCATTAACCTCAGAGTGTATTAACATAATTATAGAATTTACAGCTCAAGGTTTCTCTCACTGCACTGCACACTTTCTACATGCTGGTGTACAAACTTGCACACACGGCACCTGTTTGCCTCTTATTTCCCTCATTATAGTTATTCTGCAGGAGTACACAGGAATACTGAACCACGAAGGTGACCTCATTCTGTTGTCCTGCTATGGGTTTGTGTGAGTTTATGCAATTATTAGATATGAGGAAATGAAAACAAGCTCTAGAGGCCGTGAGGATTAAAGCAAATATCAAGCCAGGAAAAACAGCAGGGCAGCTATGTGGAAGCACTTCTTCAGTTAAATTCCCAAGTGTCACTTACCATTTGATGTCGTCCGTGTGTCCAGTGTAGTGTCTCTGCAGCTGTTCATCCACATTGAACAGGACGACCACTGAGGCGATGAAATACACGGTTTCTCCAGTGGGAAGCAAGTAAAGGTTGGAGCGACAATCTCGACCCCGGTAACCGTAGCTGGATATTTAGAGGGTCAGGGAATAGCCAATAAGCAACTGAAAGAAAATTAATCAGCAACTAGTTTGTTTGTTAAGCAACTTTTCCCATCCATTAGCCTCTCACTTGTGAAGATTTGTAGTGGTTTTCTCTTCTGTGGTAGTAAACTGAACATGTTAACTAATCAAGTTGAGAATGAAACTAAGTGTTGCATCCCTAATCCTACACAACATGCACAGACCATGCAGTTCAGTTTTTGTGTGCACTTTCTCCTTCAGATTTAATCTTCTCTTTGTTTTCCTTGTAGCTTTTCCCTTTGGGTTTCTGCTGCTGAACAGCAAACTACATTCATTCCTTCATGAACAAATGAAAGAAAGAGACAACCCCACAAATGAAACAAAATAAAAACAAAATAGCGACCAGAAGAGCTGCTGACTGGTTGCGGCTCAGCCTGCCAGATGTCTGCAGGTTATTACTGACTGCAGGCTGCAAAGCGCTGAGCCCGGCTCCGACTGGGCAGCACAAACACGGCGAAAATGAACATTTGATTTACTCTGACAAGTAGGGAGAGCAGAAGACACGTCCAGCGCTTCCTCTCCTCACTACATCACAGGCCAATCTAGAGTTAATTTCCTCAGAAGATTACTTTTCAAAACTTTCCAAATCAGAACTACAACTGTATTTAAACCATTTATTTCTGTAGAATATTCCCTGTGCACACGAAAAAAGAAAAGAATACACAAAAGCGGGTCATCACACAGGTGGTGTTTAGCAAGCGGTGCAGTGAAAGGATACACCCAGTCCAGTTTGAGTTTGTTACTGGGCAGCTCAGCTCTGGCCTCCAGGCAGTAGCTGTCCATTTGGTCTTTGGGCATGTACATGGTGATGGGACGACCCTTCAAAAACATTTTCACATAGCCTTCCTCTAGATAAAGCAAACAAATGGTCAGTAAGATTATACATAAAACCCAAATGACTGCTGGTGTTGTTAGTTTTTAATGGTGTCATATTTTTATACACAATGCACAGACATGATGATAATGAAGCATAATACATGGTGTTATGATGTAAGTGACAAAGGCGACAATATTGAATGTGTGACAACATTAGAAGATAATGGAGTGATGTGATTGTGATTATGATAAAACACAAATGAAAGCAAAATTTACAAACAAATGAGCTTTTTAACTGACTTTATTAATTTATTTCAAACAATCTAACACCAATCCTATGACAGCAGAGAGTGCAAACATTTCATTAAAAATGTCTCATAAATAACTCAGAAATATCATCTCGCAGCAGATGTTAACCAAACTAAAATGCAGACACAAGCTGAGCAAAAGGAAATGTTATGGGAAAACAGATTCAAGCTTAGAAAAGGGGACAATAAGAACCTCTCCTCAATGAACAATGAAAAATAAATCATCCAGAAAATATCAAAACAAAAAAAAATCTCTGGATCTCTCCGAAACTGAGGACATAGGGTCTTAATGGTAGAAATGCACAAATAGACCAGATATAAAATCTGCTTTTTGTCATGATTTTGGTTTTGTACTGACTGGCTCCAACTGAGGACAGTGTACTATTTTTTGCTAAGTGAAATAAATTAGTAACAAATCTGGAAGTACTGGCTGGGAGATTTAATAGGGCTGCGGTAACTTGGTGTGGCAAGGGGAGAGCATGATGTCAACTGATGGCTGAAACTCGGGGTCTTTCTGACAGGTGGTGCCTGGCAGCACCAGCTTTTCTGGTCATGCTGGCCTTCCTGCTTTCTGAGATTTGTCGGGGGCTGGCAGCTGAACAAGATGTTACAAGTGAGGCTGCGGGGCTGCTGCTGGTCCCCATCCGTTTGGCAGAGCAGCTGAGGTAAATCTGTACCGCGACTATAATGTGGATGGAGAGGGGTGGTGGAGGTTGTCAGGACCGGTAGGACAAAAAGGGACAAGCAGGTTGAAGGATCAAGAAACGTAAAGGGTGGAGGAGGTTGGTAGAATATGTTAGACAGATGTAATGGCTGTTTATTGTTTCACATTTAGTTAAAGCAAGACACACACACACACACACACACACACACACACACACACACAAGGAAACTAGGGGAACTGGCTGTTAATATAAACCACCAGCAAGGTGCTTATCATCAAACAGATATTAATTCAGATCTTGTCATGAGAGGATGCAATTCATTTTAAGGGTTCACCAGCCAAAAATATCAGGAACGACTGATCAAGGGTAAAAAGATCACTGATATCTTAAAAGTCATTGTTTAAAGAATTAATTGTTCTGTAACAAGACTAGGTAGAAAGAAATATATCAGTGAGGAAATGAGCTGGCTTTGATTCTAGTCTTTTTTAAACTTTCCTAGCAGCTTTGTGAATATTTGCTGAAGGGGTCTACACACATACAGATGGCACATCAGGCTACACGAGAAAACTACAAGCAGTAAAATCAAAACACACTTCAATAGGAAATACCCCACAAGAGACTGAATGTGTCTGTAATGCAAATATTCATTTTCAGGGCAGGAAGATAAGAAGTGCAGTGGCAAATCTGCTTGCTCTGAACTAAGGCAAGGAATCTGACAGAAGATTTAAAGAGTTCTCAGATAAAAACTCAAAGCAATTGTAAGGAATCGTCAGAAATTTGTGTCGTTACTGTGATGACAGAGACTAAATGCAAGTGAGTGAAAGTGAGTTTGAGAGCAAACAGACACACGTCTGGTGAAGCAGCGGCTTCATCCGCAGTTCAGCAGCGAGTGTGGCGACACACAAGTGAACTACAAACACTGCAGTCGCACTCTGGCACGGTGCTCAAGTGCAGGTTAGGCAGTGTGTATGTGTGTTAGTTAATTCAGTCTCAAAACAATTAAAGGGAGCATAACTTTCACACACACACACACACACACACACACACACACACACACACACACACACACACACACACACACACACACACACACTTTGTAAATCTGCTTCTGTCCCTGTCTGGACAGCTCTCTGTTCATTGCACCCAAGGGTAGTAAGAAATCACAAAGAGACTGAGGCAGAAAAATATGACATGAATTAAAATTTTTAAATAGGAGTCCTGATTTTTATCCTTTGCCACAGTGCTAAAGCTCAGAGCAGAGTTGATGGATGTACTCAGATCAAATCAAATCATCTGCAGTGACCAGAGAGCCGTGGAGGCCAGGGGACGTTGGGGGGCAGGGGTAGCCTACCTTTGCAGTGGGTCACACGTCGCATCCCTTGTAAAAGGTCACAGAGACAGACACAAGCACCAGGTGAGGGGTGGCAAAGCTTCCTCACTTCTTGGCCTGTCCTACAATGAGTGCACTTCTTGTTTCCTAATTTTAATCAATAGCTGTTTCTGTCCTTAATTCTCTCAGTGAACCAGTGCTCTTTTCCTGTGGTACAGCATCACACCCTCTGCTCCTATGTGGTTAGAGGTTGGTCTATGTTGAATTTTTGTTTTTAATCCCTCCATGAAAAAAAAAAAACAAAAAAAACTAACAGACTGAGCTGTTCTTATTTGTCTCAGATGTTTTGGACAATAGCATCTTTTAAAACCAACAGTTTATGTCCATGACACTGCCCTGATTGCATTGCTTTGCAAGAGATTTTTAAAAAAAATCTATAAATAATTAAAATGTCCAGTAACTGTAACGTATTAGAAACAATTACCACTTTCTCCTAGTTAACATCTTAGGCCAGACAACAGCAGCCTTAGAGGTATTTCAAAACCATTAACAGGCTATACTTTTATGGTGATGACATGATTTATTACTGGGGATACTGACTGCATTAACATTTCTAAATCATAATCTGCTGTTTACATTTTATAAATATGCAAAGAATATGTTTTATATGAATCATATTACTAGAACTGGACTTCAAAAACACTAGAGAGAGTTTGTTAGATGTGAAGCCACTTCCATCCATCCATTTTCCTCCGCTTATTCGGAACCGGGTCGCGGGGGCAGCAGTCTAAGCAAAGATGCCCAGACTTCCCTCTCTCCAGACACTTCCTCCAGCTCCTCTGGGGGAATTCCCAGGCCAGCCGAGAGACATAGTCCCTCCAGCGTGTGCTGGGTGAAGCCACTTGCACTACATTAACTTCAAAAAATGTGCCTGTGTTAAGTCTGTAGAGTCTAGACAGGCTTTGTTGCGGCTGTAGTCTAAACTAAAAAAATCTGGAGCCAGGTGTGTAAACCAAATGAAAAACATCATTTCAATTTACAGTCAATCAATAGCACAGTGGAGGTGGAAATTCTGATCAATACTTATCTCATTGTTCATTTCATATTCAATTCTTTTGCCTTGCCTACAATGTGTTCTCTGATTTGTTTCAGAAATAAATGGTGGGGGTTTGGTTCACTGTCTGGTTCTAAAAGCATAAACCCAAAATGTAATGGGTGGCTCGTCTTTTCCTTTTTAAAGCCCTTCTCAATTCTCAGGTTTGTGCTGTATGTGTCCTACCTTACGAACTGCAGAAAAGATTTTTTTTTTAATCTGCCAGAAAGACAACCAACTATTTTACCTTGTTTCTGTGTGAAACCAGGTATAAGAATTTCAATGGAATGCCAGTATTTGTCAACCTTAGTCTTATTATATTCATTTTGTTTATGGGTCCACAACTCTGTTGCAGAGATTTGGCAAATGCAGACTCAATGATGTAGTCAGTGAAAGCAGCACAATCTGCCTACAGCTTTCAAAGTAAATTTCACTTTTACAGAAATCATTTCAATCATTTGGCAGCTGCAGTAGTTTGGTTAGCTGGAAAGCTGCTGCAGCGTATCCCTGCACAAGTAGCTACAATAGCTGACCCATGGGACTGCATTCTGTTTACTTGAAGTAGGACTCGAAGACAGTGATAGAAGTAATTTAAGCCTTCAGGAGGCTGTGCTGCTCACCCTGATATACTGTGTTGTAGGGCTTTTGGGGGCTATTTGTTTCCTGAATGCCTATAATAAAAATTACAAGTGCAGAGTTCTGTAATGGAAATAATGAAAGTACAACCCTGAGTGAAAATATCAGATTTTAGTTGAATAAAATGGAAAACCCCTCAGACTGTAAAACCAAAAGCTTAGCTGAAACAATGCAGAAAAAGTGTAATAAAAAGAAAACATGAATGGAATTGTGGATTTGAAGAAGATGTAGTAATGGATGAGGTAGAGACTGGATGAGACACAACATCATGAAGAGAAGCTCTCAGTGGTCCTCTGTGTGTTCAAAGCACACACTGTATTTCATTTAATGATGCAATCTTATTTCAGGAATACGAATGGCTAACGAGCGATTCTTTATTTTGACAGGATTCCTATAAAGTGCATTGACCTCTGACTGCCACAGACAGCCACTGAGCATCACATGAGTAATGGCTCTCAGTGGGTTGTATTGTAGCATCAGATATCAGGCTATAGTGCAGTAAAAGGGCCTCTGGTTCTTACCTGTATTGAACACTGGATCCCTCTGTTTACTGCAAAGTAAATGAGTAAACATGATGAAGCATTCAGTATCTGCTGTATATTATTGATTTGAAATGGCTTTATAAGGATGGCAGTGTGTTATCTGCTGTGTCAAACATCAAATCAAAACAGAAATAGCCTCCTATCTTGTTTGGACAGAAGCTATCTGCAACACATACACTGTCTGAATGGGGGAAGTTGCTTCATCATCACATCCATGTTACCTGTCACTTTTCTTGCCGCTGGAATTGCTGCCAGTGGATTCGGCACGAGTTCGATTACCCTTGGAGTCGCTTGAATCTTTCCGTGTAAGAGTTCCCACGTGTTCATTTGAGCTGGCTCTCCTCACAGTGCTGTGGTGAGAAGGAAGGTGGACAGAGGCAAAACACGGGAGGTGAGATACAGGTCATAAAACTACTTGATGCTGCTTTTCTGAAAATACCCTCTGGTAAAAGGTTTCATCAGAGAAATAGCTTTTGAAAGCACAAACAGGGAATATGTATTCATGTGATGATTCAGCTCAGAGATGTCTTGATATTGCCTCACATTTTTAAGAAAGGTCCTAAACTGTGTGACGCTGTACATCAGTATATATCTACAACACAATGCCAGTACAGTCCTATGCAGATCTACATATCAGTGGTGCAGACTGCCTGCCTATTCACAACAATGAAAAGGCTCCATCAGCAGTCCAGTGACCAGGAGGCTCAGTCATCTAATCCACCCTATGGGAGAAGAGTCCATTGAAATCCTAAAACTGGCCTGTGGTGTTTTCCCTTCTGGAGAGTCTGTGTGTGTGTGTTTGGTAAAGAGCAGAACAGAAGAAAAATAGGCAGAATCTGGTGTTTGCTGTGTCATCCTATAAGGAGTCAGAGTAATTGGGCCACAGGGCATTAGGAATGCTAACAGTAATGGGATTGTGACCAATCTGCAGTTTAGACTAATCCCAGATACAGACGGTAAACAACACAAACACTGCTCCAAAGGACAATGATTCGAACAACAGTGAATGGTATCAAGCAGAGAAATGGTGAATGGAAAATGCTAAAAATGTCACACTTCTGATGTAGTTTGGTGACTGATTTAGTAGCTGAAAATCACGGTTAACGTTCATCAGGTCAGTCATGTGGCCATGATGTTATAGTGTGACCAGTATGTTGAAACTTGGTGATCCTCTCACCTGAGCGGCAGATAGAAAAATCTGGTAGAACGAGACAGAGAGGACAAACTGGAAAGACTGGCAGGACATCACAGAGCAGGTGGACAAGACACAAACAGGACAAAACATTACAAGACTGTCCTCCCTTAAAAAAATGACCCTATAGATTATCTGTGCAAGGAGCTGATGACACATTGTTACATTTTATTAGGTGACATCTATCAGCGTGATGGAGGAAATCAGGTGACGTATATAAAGAGCAGCACTGCCCATGTAGGGGCGGACTGGGTTGACAAAATGTAGGACTTTGACATGAGAGACTGCTATTTGTTTCAAACCAATAGTCAGCATTTCTTTTATCAATGAGTGTGTATTTGAACCTATACCTTTGCATTTCCTTAAATCTAACCAAGCTGTTTTTGTGTCTAAACCCTAACCAATGACCAGTCCATAACCTTGTCCATTTATTTATAATTGCAATGATGACAAAGGCCCAGTATGCTGCCACCAGTATGCCATTACTGTAATCATGACTGCCACTGTAGTTGTGCCATTTCAGGAGAGACTCCTATGGATCACATCAGAGGGCAGGTACACACGACATCTGTGGTTGTTTAAGTTGGAGGACATGCAGAACATACAGAGGAAGGGACATGTTATCAAAGAGAGACAATACAAAAAGGACAAACGACAGGAAAGATGGGAGAAGACTCAATATGCAAAGATAAACCTCAAGGTGAGAGTCAGCATTAAAATTCCAGTGTATCAGCTCTCAATACTGGAAACCAGAACAGGAGCAGAAATATCAGTACACACAAGAAAAAATGAGGAAACAAAACTACAGGGGAGTTAACATCTGTTTGGACTGGAGTTAGTCTCTGCTGAGCTTCATCTGATTATGGTAATGTCATCCAGAGATGGGAAAAGGCTATTCTTCCCCCGACAAACAAGACTGATAACCTGTGTTCCAGGTAACTGCAAGCATTGCACAGTTATTTTTAAAATACAGTCCTCACCCCTTTGTGGCTGCAGTGCTAGTGTCCTTTCTGGATCCAGTTCCGGATGGAGAGGGCAGAGTGCCGCTGCTTTTCTTTGTTAGGATGGTCCCATTATGTACTGTGGGCCGTAACGGCAGCGCGGTAATCATCGGCCTGGCTGGAAGAAGAAGGGCAACAAAGACTTGACTCAACTCAGATTTTTCTTTGGTAACCTGGACTTGACTTGGACTGGAACATGAGGACTTGTGTTTACAGCCCCAAATCAAAAAAAGTTGGGACACTATGTAAAATCTAAAAACTGAAAATAGTAATTTGTAAATCATATGTCTCCTGTATTATGTTGAAAACAATACAGCAGCACATTCATTCATTGTGATACCTCATGAATTTTATTCTTTGTTCAAAATAAAGACTCAAATCACATCTTACTCCCTGTTATCAGAGTCATCAATGACTACATTTAACACAATTATCTAATATTATATATATATAAAATTATAATGAATATATA